CCCCCCCCCTCCCCTCTCATCCTTTCAACAAAAACATTATGTTAATCAGCAAGTCATCCGAAAGCACATAATCTCTCCATACCGCCCTACATACCATACACCTTTCGTCTGTTTCGTTTGTGCCCCGTTTTATTACTAGCCTGTTTATTGCTTGTTTTGTTTTTCGCATTTTTATTTTTTTGCATTCGTTCTTCCACCTCCTGGCTTATCGCACTCTTACACTGACCTCCATTGCCACAGTGCCACAGAATGTTCTGAATTCCTCAAAAGTAGGCCTACCCTGACAGTGTCGGAGGGTGCCCTCTCCTCCTTTCTCGCCACACGTTCTATACTAGTTCATCCACCCCTCCCCACCACGTCGCTACCTCATGTCTCTTTTAAGTAAGTAATGGTAGATGGGCTCTGGGATGATTATTAGCTAAGCTTTTCCAGCTAAGATGACATTTCCGGAGGGTCTGAATCTGACAGAAAGTTACAAGGCAAAACAGAACTGATAGTGCTTGGAAATCGAAACCCCCTCCCCCCCCAAAAAAAACACAACAACAAACAAAACAAAAACAACCCCCCAAAAACAACAAAAACAAACAAAAAAATAAAAATAAACAAACAAACAAAAAAATCTCCCAAAACAAACCAAAAAAAAAATACCCCCCCCCTTCTGTAACCTTACAACACATATTCTCAATAAAACATGTTTTTTTTCCTCAACCAATCTTTTCGTCAGTAGGTCACAAGATCTAAGAGTATCAAAACCGCTCTAAATTCAAAACTTCGCCAAAAATCAAATCTCGCAACTCAAAAGCGAAAAACAAATCTGAGACAAATACCAAGCGCAGTCCGCAGTCTGCCTAGGGGTAATGCCAGATGACCAGCTGGGTATAGGATGCATACTGCATACAGCTCAAGCCCCCCCCCCCCTCCTTGCTACATTCAGGCATATAGAGTGATAAAAAAGGTACAAGCGAGGACGAAGAACAAGCCCACTCAATCCACACTTTGACTATTAAAGACTGTACCAGCCCATCAACTTTCTCCGTCTTCCAACAAATGCTGGATCTCTTCTTCCCTTTCAATTTTTGGCAGCCTTCAAAGGTATGTTCGGAATTCGCCCCAACGAAACTTCAAGACCGGTTTATCTCACCTAAATTTATGATTCCACAGATAGACTGGTTCATTTACCACACTCCGAGTTGGAGAGGTTGGGGGGGGGGGGGGTAAGAAAGGGGAGGGTGAGGAGGGAGGGGAAGGGGGCTGACATTACTGTCGCTGACCGGCTCTTTCCCGCGAGGTCTGAAGAGACACAGTTTTACAGCAGCAGCAGCTCACAGACGTTATCGACTTTACGCATCTCTGAGCCCATTACGCGTGCGCACGCCGAGCGCATTAGGACCATCCTTCAGTCGCTTATCTGATATGCACAATAGAACTTGCCACTGACATACAGCGCCCGGCTGGTGACGAAACTATTGAGGTGACAACCGTAAGATGCGACGTCCTACAAGAGGCCAATTAATTACCTTTGTACAAGTTGTTGGAGAGCAGTACTTTATAACGAGTCATAACGGTAAATACCGCAATAAATTGACAAAACACGCACATTTATCTTTATAATTTTGCTGAAAGGAAAAAAAAGAGGAGAAGATGCACCGGACTACGCAACGACTATCCCCACAATAAGCTGACAGAGATTATCGTAACGAAATAATCTGGGCAAAAGTACATGTACTTACAGCTGATAAACTGTGAATTAAAAGGGGTTGTCCCCCCTTCCCGCACAGATACATAATCATGTGTCACAATGGATAACGTTTAGCATTCGGAAACGGGCTAAGAAGTCATCGTTTGCTTGAGAAAAAAAACCCAACCTTTTCTTAAAAATAAAACTCCCTGATTCTGCTGTGATTCTGTCAAAAATGTTTCTCCCTAAAACAAAGGTCGTTTTTCGCGTTCTTTGCAAAACATTCTCAAGAGTCTCTTCGTCCCAGGTCAAGGTAAAACTGAACATGAAATCGAAAAAGTACAACAAAAACTCTTCACTCATTTATCCCTCTCAGTAAAGGTTCTGTGTACTTTTTCCAGCAAAGGCAACAATCCGTTCTACACTGTCAGTCAGTGGAAGTCAGCAAGACACATCGGATGCCTCAGGCAAACAGAAACACTGATACATGCTGTAGAGAACAGGCACTTCTTTCGACATAACGGTTAAAATTTAAAGAGGCGGATCGGGACAATCAAGGCCTAGAGACGCTATATCATACAGCAGTCCGACCATTTGTCGGGGAACGATAATTTTTTCTCACTGCACAGAATTCCCGTCTGCATCGATTACACATTGTCCTTAAAACATATCCTTCAATGAGGGAAAACCAGACAGCAACTGAACAACATCATATTCAATGAAACATATTTTAAGAATGCCTAATCCAAATATATATATAAAAATAGTGAAAATGAAGTCGAAAACTAAAAAATCTTTGTCTGAAATAACGTCAATAAATTTAAGGACATATCTAAACAAGTAAAAAATCTTTGTGTATAATATCGTGAAAAAATAGAACACATTTTAATATAGCGTGGACAAAATAAATGATTTCTGAAAAAAAAAATTCAAGAGTCGAAAAATACAAGTATCTTGAGAAATTATAGTGTCGAAAAAAAATTCAAGAGCACGTATCTACTGATGTAATATGTGACCAGGGACTGGAGACCTACACACAGAGGACATCAAACATGGCAGACGTCTCAAGTGCTGGCACAGGCACGACAAGCAAAGTGGAAGGTACAACGACCAGAGGAAAGGGCGAAGGAGAACCCAAAGAAAATACACAGAAGAAGGGAAAAACAGCAAAAACGAAAGGCTCTAAAGTGAAACTAACAGACTTCCAGGAATTAAAGAGACGTGACGAGCAAAAACGAACATTATTATGTAACAACAGTGTGAAGGCTTTACTATCATACAGTTGTCTTGATACCATTCACTCGACAAAATGAAGCCAACCAGCGCTATGTGAAATGACACACATATATCAGGAACTCATCTGATACATGCACAAGTCAAAATTCTTTTTAAAACTCCATTGCAACTGGATAGTTATTTGTTTTGTTTTTGTTTTATTTTGTTGAAATGATAACAAGTGTACAATCAGTATAATAATCTGATCTGGATAGGATTTCGATAAACGTTTTGAAACGCTGTATAAGTGTTGAAATAAAAACTCTTTCACTGAAATCGATGGAAGATGTGAGGTCGGAGTAATGCGATGTCAGTGTTGTGAGATGTAGGATTGGGAATACTTACTTGCTTTGGGCTAAATCCATGGTGCTAACACTGACGGTATCACTCTCAGACTCTTCGCTGATGGCTTTGCTACACGGGCGGAGAGAGAGGGGAGCGAAAACATCAGTACATGGACACAATACTCAACAGTGTGTCTACAAACGGCGCACAACACGGCATACGGTTTAAAGCAGAGATACAACTGAAAGCTAACACTGAGGGAACCCTGTGTACTGGAAGCAGAAAACACATTAAAAAAACTCCCATTAAGTTGTAATTGTCTTGCAGAGCAGAATTCATGAACACTACATGAAACATTAATTACGAACACCAGATTTAAGCAAATGACAACTTTTTATTGCTCCGCCTCCCCCAACCAACCCCACCCAGTATGTCAGAATCTCGCACAAGGCCGATTCAATTTTTTTTTTTAAGCTGCGTTGAAACTGGAGCCCTACGTGAAAACCCTCCAAGGATATAACTCTATTGGCAACTAGAAAAAAAATTCAAAACCGTTTGTAGACACAACAAGGTGAAAAAGACACTGACATGTGGGTACACTACATCAAACACTTAAGAAAAAGCAACAACAGCAATTGCAATAATGGGTTAACATCAATATACTTAATACGATTATTAAAAAAACCCACTGTCCAAACAAAACATACCCCCCCCCTTTCCCGAAAAAAACACACCACAAAAAAGAAGAGGGAGAAAGCAAATCATTGCAGTAGCAAACTAACAAAATATTCCGTTAAAGTTCCAAGAGAAAATGATTGCCATACAAATACCCGCGACAGAAGGTTAGGTTTGGCAGATAAAAGACAAGTTATAATAGCAATCAATAATACGATAACAACAGGTACAAAAAGTACAAATGCATTCCACAGGCTTCATGCTTGAAATGTAACATTAAGTGACAGCGTTGAGACTGTGCTCTTTAACTAAGGAAAACCTATTAGGGCGTAGACTTCGCTACTATTATCAGTATGATGATCAAGATGAGTGAATTTTCATGAAAATAGGCTTTATGAAATATCATGGTGGAATTCGGCGCTGAGATGGCTGTTAGCTCTACTGCTATATAAACTTGAGCAACAAGTAATAACTACAGCAACTAAAAAGTATGGATAATGCAGTGCATCCGCGCCTGGAACCGGGTTTACTACAAAGAGGACAGGACACGCCCACCCAGTTATATCTGTGCTTTCTTGTATTATACATACAGCTCTTAACTTGGGAACTTATGACCACGACTTACAAACATACATTTTGCAAGTTTCTAACCATTTCAAAATTGATTATCGCGAACCGTTTTTAGATCTCATTTAGAGTGCCGGCAGCAGGGGAAAAACGATGACATCGCTTCGGTGGTATAGTGACTTGAACCACTTTTTCGCGAAGCGCTTTCGTTCTCAATCGCGATAACATTAAGTACTCTCGCAGTTCTGTGATCGGTGATGCGAATTTGGAGCTAGTTGCTTCGCTGAGGCCCTAAAGTGTTATTGCGAGCTGGTATTAAAGGTATCTCGGGCTATTGCAATTAACTATTCTAAAGTGCCAAACGTAATGACAGTGCATCTTGTCTTCCTTGCACAAATCTAATTGGCCTTTTCCTGCCTTAAAACAAACTGCCAAAAAAGACAAAAACAAAAACAAAAATAAAAACAGAGTCCCTCTCCCAAAACACTTTTAAAAAAGATCAAAACCGCTGACTACTAAGGTTTCCCAGGCTATAAAAAAAACTAGAAGGAACCAGGGATGCATGACAAAGAACTTGACTTTACCAACTCTGTACTGCCTCTTCTGTCTACTCCAAGCGATTAGAACCTGACATTTACACCCCGATCAAGCCTAACAGTATCAATCTTGCAAGACACAACATTACACTTCACCTGATATTCCCGACATTATCAACACTCGGGTCTGAATCTAGACCCCACCCCACCCCGTTTTGAACTTGTCTGAACCCCCTCTCACCCTTCTTTCTCTCAGAGCATCTGGTCCGACTTTTACCAAACTATAATAGCATCTCCTTCCCTCTCCACACGACGTCTCTGGCGCGTGATAGGGGCAGGTGGCAGCTTCGTTTATCCAGCATACCCCGCGGCTTTCAGTGATTCGGAGCGGAGTATGATCAAGTATGATTCCATGTTCACGCACTTACGGCGGAGAGTTGGCGGACGAGCTGTTGCCATTAGAGTTATGATGGAAGTGTTCTACCTTGGATAAGCGGTAATGGACGCACAGATGAGACCACGAGAGCTTGAAGGGGGGAGGGGGGGGGGGAGAGACTTTTTGGACTATATAAGAGAAAAAGTGTGAAAGATAGATGAGCAATAAGCTTTTTCTTCTGAAGATCTAATAAGCAGAATGTGAACTGCATTAAAAATTAATAATAATAATAATAATGATATAAGCGAAAGACAAATATTAAATTTGTACAAATGAGTATTAAAAGCAACTAAATCAATGGAAGACACACTTTCGTGAATATAAATTAAAAGCCCAAATTTTGATTCTTAGACATTAAACAAGTGTCTGAAATTTACCCATGTGTCCGTTTTCGTTGCTAGATTAAAAAAAAAAGGAATCCCTACTAAGCCTACCCCCCCCCCCCAAAAAAAAGCCCCTAAATTAAAAGCACGTGTCTAATTTTGAACAGTGTCGAAAATTACAGGATTTGGTACATTTTTTTTTTTAACCTTTACAATATTTCAAGACGACCAACACGTCAGAGAGTAGCACTGTAGCACTCCCGATATATAGACGTGATTTACCTAACAGCACTGTTGTTATCATTATGTCACTTGCAGGTTGTCCATTCCAAGACCACCGCCGAGGTGAACATACAAATAAAGAACTGGATATGCTTACGTACGTGTAAAACTGTCCTCTTTTGAGATCAATGGTCACATAAAAAATATTTTTGGATACATTTATGCATCAAAGCCATAATATACTTAATGAATACAGAGACATTGCGTGAATATACTTATAGGTTATCAGCGGACGCAACAATTTTTTTTTCGAAGCAAAACATGTTTGACGTCTCTCCCATAGAAAGAACAAATTTGAGATTGGGTTGGGGGGGGGGTGTTCTTGACAAAGGTTGTGTTAGACCAAACAAAGAGAGAGGGAGGGAAAGAGAGAGAGAGAGAGAGGGAGAGGGA